GGAAGAGCACAGTTTCAAACATGATACAGGAAACTTCAGTAACAGCAACTCAGCGTGTTTAATATTTTTTTTGTATTCAAAAGATTTACAATTAAATGAGGTGGTGAAAAAAATTAAATAGAAAGCAACAGTTAGTTGCCCTTAGAACAAAAAAATAGTTTCACTTTTAAACTGGTGCTCTGAGGTCCCATTTTCCAGAATGGATTTAACACTGGCTGAGGCAATCAGTAAGCTGTGAAAAGGACTAGTTGCGAAGAAAATTGACTTTAAACTAATTGATCTATGCTGGAGATTTTAAAAAATGTATATTTAATCCACTCATAACCAGCCAAACAAAGCAAAATGGGGCAGACAAGCACTTTACTACCACAGCTGTTTTACATCACAACTTGCGCTGTTTATTGTGATGTAAGCCCACTGAAAAGAGGACTTACCTTATCCGTTGTATACCTTTAGTGAAAAAACACAATGTTTACTTCCCTCATCACTTCACTCAGGCTGGTGTAAACAACTGTTTTTTTATTTTTGTTTTTTTGTTATACACACATATATATTATACCTTTGGGCTAAAAGTTGAGTTTTGTCAGTCTAAATCTGAGATATTACCAAAAACAAATTTGGAAAAAAAAAAAGCGATAAAAGCCATGATCATGACTAGGATTAGTCCAGGAGGAAAAAAAAAAGAAACTTTCCAAAGTGACCAGCAACCACTTGTATCCAGTTGCTCTGTACTTGTGGGATTAATTTGTGTTTCAAAAAGTAATGAAAAACAAATTCAGAAGTTCAATTACTTATCACCAATATCCCATTATTGCTTGTAAACAATAAGAAGGTAATTAGGAACAGTGAAAAAAAATGTTTAATAAAGAACATCTCATGCCAGAAAAGAGAACAAAGTTCTAAAATACAGCCTTCTTTTAGATACTATCAAATACTGCCAGTTAAACAAAATAAAAATGCATTATTACCTGATGCCCAATGGTATAATAAATAAGCAGTGACTGCAATCTTTAGCAAAAGGACCAAATTAAAGACAGGTTATAAAAATGACTTCCTAGGTGCAATATCACTTTCATAACGTCTCAATCAGGGATTTACTGGTAAAAAGAAATGGTCCAATGAAAGAATCGAAAAGAAATGTCAAAGTAATTTTACTTTTTTTTTGATTTGATATCTTTTTCGATTTATCAGAATTTGCTTTGTAAGAATCAAGAAAATTTTGGTATAAATTCATTACCTCTGTAAACCCCTGTTATAAACTCTGCATTAGTACTTTTGCCTTCTAAGGCAGTCAAAGTTTGTTTTAATTTATTTATAGATTGCAGTAGCAAGTGCTAGTGCCCATTATATTGTGGGGAAATCAAGTTTTTACAGTATTAGAATTTAATGTTTTAACTGATTTTTTGTTTTTTGGCAGTTCTAACACAAACAGATATATCCCTTCTTAACATTACCCTTTAATGAACAAGGATCAGACAAGTTGCATAAGGAAAGGAAAGGAAAATGAAAAAGACCAAGCAGAAGGATGAAGGCTACAACAGAGAAATTAAGCCTAACATATTGGTGCACTGATGACAAAAGGAGTAATTCAGTCTGAAAATAAAAAATTACCACTGCTAAGTTTACCATCACCACAACAAGTCCAGGATCATAATGCTGTAAAAAAGAAACACCATTTGTTAGGCAGAAACCATTAGGGTAGGAAACAGGCCTTCTAGCAGGCAGACAGGATGGGGTAAAGTAACAACTGGGCTTTGTCCCTCCCCCAATTTCAGCTGGGGACACAGGAAGGACACTTTGTGCTACTGTGGTTGTTTTCATGCTGGTTGGGTCAGGGTGTGAGATTTTTGTACTGCTACTTGAGAACATGAACAACCTCCTCTAAAATAATGCAGGGGGAGGGGGGAAGGTGAGAGAAAGTGAAAAAATTAGCTCTAGCTTCCAATCTCATTTAACTACTCATTCTGGTAAATCAGTACTCAGGGCCCAAGGTGGGACTTTCTCCTTAAAGAAATAACATCAAAGACAGATCAACTGGACAGTGATCATCAAGTCATTTGCTACACTAAAAGAACTCTAAGAGGATTTGGGGGGTGGAGGGGTTCATCAAGACCTTACTGAAAATATATAATAAGTAAAAGGTCTGGAAAATAACCTTAGATCTTCAGTGCTTGGAAAACTTATGTGCATTTGAGTTCTGTTATGAACGAATAAAACTCTTGCAGGAGCTTTCCTTAGAACTTTTGTTTCCTTTTAATGAAGTCTTCCCAAGTCCGCCAACATCTCTCTTTCTGCACACAACAAAGCCAAGCTTTGAAGAACACCAGTAACTCCAGAGACAGTGGCATCAAAAGGGCTGTCACATTTACAATTAGTCCACTCAGAGGTAACTCACAGAAAACAAACAGTCTGGCTTTAAAAACAATCTGAAGGCAACATTACTGCCTGGGCCAAATAGTAATTTCTTTCATTAGAGGCTCCTGACCAAGGAAAAATCTCACTGGGAAAAGACACTGAACAACACATACAGGAAGAGTTTGCAGCATTTAAAAAAAGAAAAAAATCCCCTTAATTTATTCATTTGTGATCAATGATAAATCCTATCATAGAGCACATCACTGTGGAACATCTGAATAACAACCTATAGTTATGACTTTTCAAAGGGTAGGTAGCAACAGAATGTTTGCTATTATAATATTTCTAGAAAACTCAACTTCTTTTTAAAACAAATTGAATGAAATCCAGGTTCCCTATTTCTTGGTTTCTCTTAACAGGGACAAATATTTCTTAAAATCCATTAAAATAAGAACATTTTGTTGTTTATTTCATTTCAAAGGAGGCAACTTCAACCATAACACTGAATACTTTCCTTAAAAGAAACTGTCCTCTTCAGCCAAAGATCTATATATAGATACTATGACTGTGATCTAGCTAACTGGACAAGGGGAGAAAAAGGAAAGAAAACATACCACATCTAGAATGTTCCAATACCAATGTATTCATGTGATCGGGGAAAAAAATTGATATTCATATTTTCTAAATCAAAACTGTAAATCTATATACAAATATCGAATCATTATGTTGTACACCTGAAACTAAAATAATATTGTATGTCATTCGTACCTCAATTAAAATACTTTTTTAAGGGCTTCCCTGGTGGCGTAGTGGTTAATACGCCTGCCAACGCAGGGGACACGGGTTCGAGCCCTGGTCCGGGAAGATCCCACACGCCGTGGAGCAACCAAGCCCGTGCACCACAGCTACTGATCCTGCGCTCTAGAGCCTGCGAGCCACAACTACTGAAGCCCACGTGCCTAGAGCCTATGCTTTGCAACAAGAGAAGCCACCGCAATGAGAAGCCCGTGCACTGCAACGAAGAGTAGCCCCCGCTCTCAACAACTACGGAAAGCCCGCGCACAGCAATGAAGACCCAACGCAGCCCCCAAAAATCAATTAATTAATTAATTTAAAAAAATTTTTTTAAGAGATGGGAAAAACTTTAAATGATGTTTCATTAACCAAACAGTATTGTACATTCTATATTTTAGAAGGTAGGCATACTTCTACAACGACAAACATGCTAAAATGTTCCCATATTCATCTCTTGCTAAAATGTGATGGTAGTATAACTTATCATAACTGAAGAGAGAATAAAGCTAAATACCAAAATCCACTGATTGCTTACAGCCACACTGTTTCTGAGAATAATCCCTCATATTAATCAGTTTTGATTTTGAAACACTTAAGGATATACCAATCTACAAAACTGGCCCAAAGAACTGGACTGTGAAGAAATAATTTTTTTTTCTACAAACACTATTTTTTTATTTTATTTTTTAAACTTCTTTATTTATTTTTGGCTGTGTTGGGTCTTCGTTTCTGTGTGAGGGCTTTCTCTAGCTGCGGCAAGAGGGGGCCACTCTTCATCGCGGTGCGCGGGCCTTTCACCGTCGCGGCCTCTCCTGTTGCGGAGCACAGGCTCCAGACGCGCAGACTCAGTAGTTGTGGCTCACGGGCCCAGCTGCTCCGTGGCATGTGGGATCTTCCCAGACCAGGGCTCGAACCCGTGTCCCCTGCATTGGCAGGCAGACTCTCAACCACTGCCACCAGGGAAGCCCTATTTTTAAATTTTTTTAAAGATTTTTTTTTGATGTGGACCATTTTTAAAGTCTTTATTGAATTTGTTACAATACTGCTTCTGTTTTATGTTTTTTGGCTGTGAGGCACGTGGGGTCTTAGCTCCCCCACCAGGGATCGAACCCGCACCCTGTGCAGTGGAAGGCGAAGTCTTAACCACTGGACCGCCAGGGAAGGCCGACAAACACTATTTTTAAACAAACTAACTCCAGGAATAGAACAACTGGGAAGAAAATATTAAAGGACAACCACAATCTGGTAATCAGCACACTTCAGAAACAGAAGACACGTGACTTCTCCACAGAAATAAATTAGAAATGAAGAAGCTTCTGAAGTGATTAAAACACTAGTTGGATATCAACAGAGGTAAGAACACCCAATTTACCTCAGCTGCCTTTTCCTTTACTGAGA